TGTAAGGAGTCACAAGTTTCAAAAATATATTCTGCGAACCGAGTTTGTTCAGGGCACCCGCTATGATCACAAGTTTTTTTTTTTTCGGACGGCCTTTTTTCTTAAAGGTTTGGTGTTTAAGGTTCGTGTTTGGGGTTTAGGTGGCTTAGGGTTTATTTATCTCATTCCTGAGGCTTCGCAAGAGGCATTTGTCCTTTCGCTGCTTCGCAGAAAACTCAGGCGTCTCCATTGAAAACCTTATTGAATTTCATTACGAAACGAGGCCCCAAACAAATTTCGTGATAGGTAGCCCACGGGCCGGCTGGACTGTCTTGAGCAAGTTTGTCTGGCAACCCTCCATAGCCCCGGCGGGGGGAGGGTGGCCTAAGCAAGAAAGGAAAGCTTCAGGCCTTAAGCCCCTTGAGGCCCTGCTGGCTTGGTTGTCTAGTGGAATCTTACAGAGCCAGAGCCCGGAGAATCCAGGATGCCCCCCCCCCCCCCCCAAATTTGTTTGGGGGCCACGCGTTTATAGAGGGCGGGGGAGGGGGGCCCCTCAACTAAAGACAGTGCAACATTATATAGGAACCCCTTTACTTAACGGCCCAAGTATCGACTTTATATGAGCCAGCATTCACACACCCCCCTCCTCCCCCCCCTCCCCCCCGGGGCCATGGTAATATTCCCCCGCCCCCCCTCCTGTGGTTCATGGTGGGTTTTGGGTCCCCCCCCCGTGGTTCATGGTCTCTGGTTCATCGGTTTAGGGTTTAGGATGAGGCTGTAGAGTTCAGGATGTTCACTCTGACCCCCTTGGTCCATTGGGTCATGGTGAGTTCGGTCCGTGGTGTTTTCAGGGTTAACGAGCAGGGTTTGGCGGGGCGATACCATTGGCGGGGGGGGGGGTGGGTCGATTACGCGGAACGCGGGCTCGGGAAGGGGGGGGGGGGGGTGGGGTTTAGGGCTTAGGGTTTTGGATTTTTTCATTAGGATTTAATGGCTTTAGGCTCTAGGGTATAAGGCCCTTTTTATGGCTTTTGTTTCAACAGGGAGCCCTATATCTAGGGCACCCTAGAAGCAGCCATGGTTTAGAAAACTGCCCCCTCTCTCTCACACACACCCTAGACTACACTCCCAAATTGCCACCCTAAGCGACGTCCCTTAGCTGCCCTAAATCCTAGAGACACTAGACCCGAAGCCCTAAACCCTAAACCCTAAACCCTAAACCCTAAACCCTAAACCCTAAACCCTAGACCCTAGACCCTAAACCCTAAACCCTAAACCCTAAACCCTGACAGGTACTCGAAAGCCTCAGCTCGAATCTTTTTCTGGAGCCCGGCTCCGAGGTGTGCGTCTCGCGGTCCGCGAGGGCGGGCACAACTGAGCCGGAGTTTGGTTTCAGGGTTTAGGGTTTAGGGTTTAGGGTTTAGGGCTTAGGGCTTAGGGTTTAGGGTTTAGGGTTTGGGGCTTAGGGTTTAGGAGGATTTGCACCGGGGGTTTCAGGGTTCTCAAGGTTGTTCCCTGGACCCTTCAGGTTGTACCCTTAGGTTTTAGGGACCCTCCTGAGGATCCCCTATGGGAATATTTAGGGTTTAGGGTACAGGGTGCGGGTTTAGGGTTTATAGGCATTTGTAGGGTGTGGGGTTTAAGGTTTGGGGTTTGGGCTTAAGGTTTGGGGTTTGGGCTTTAAGGCTTAGGCTTTGGGGCTTAAGGGGCTTAGGGGTACGAGTTTTTAATCCCATGAGGGGTTGGACACACTGGCTCTCCCTGAAGCATCTGTCTCCCGGCTGGCACAGGACATTGATTGGGTGTAAAACGGTTTTTGGTGGGCTTAGGGATAGAAAGCGCCCAAGGGTGTTAGGTGTTGAAGAAAGTAACGCAAGGGTTTTGAAACGAGCTCTAGGGCGTTAAGCTTGTGGCTATAGGCTCAAACTGGGGCTTTCCGAACATAGCGGACCCCTAATATAAACCCCCAAGTAGTAGGATCCCTTATAACAAGGACCCCAAGAAGGTACCCCGCTAATTTCGGAAACCCTAAACCCCAAACCCCAAACCCCAAACCCTAAACCCTAAACCCTAAACCCTAAACCCTAAACCCTGGGATGTCTCAAGGCTTGAAGAGCAGCCCAGAACGCCAGAGCTGCGGTTTAGGGATTAGGGTTTAGGGTTTAGGGTTTAGGGTTTAGGGTTTAGGGTTCAGGGTTCAGGGCTTAGGGCTTAGGGTTTAGGGTTCCGAACTCCAACCCAAACCCAAACTCCCAAAGCTCTCCACCCCGAAGCCGTCCAGCCCGAGCTTTAGACCCTAAAGCATTAAAACCCTAAACCCTAAACCCTAAACCCTAAACCCTAAACCCTAAACCCTAAACCCTAAACCCTAAACCCTAAACCCTAAACCCTACACGAATCGGCCGAGGGGGGGGAAAAAAAAAAACAACGCCTGTCACAACCACCTAAGCCATGAACCCTCATCAATCCCAAACCCTGAAGCCCCCGCAACCCTCAACCCTAAACCTTAAACCCTAAACCCTAAACCTTAAACCCTAAACCCTCAACCCTAAACCCTAAACCCTAAACCTTAACCCTAAACCCTAAACCCTCAAAAAAGTCCGGGGGAGCCTTGGCCTTCTGCCGGGCCAAGGCGTCCAAGCTTCGAAGCGACATGGCGGAGATGCCTGGAATTCCCCGCGCGGTATAGGGTTTAGGGTTTAGGGTTTAGGGTTTAGGGTTTAGGGTTTAGGGTTTAGGGTTTAGGGTTTAGGGTTTAGGGTTAGGGGCACTTTTGGTCCGAATTGTCATCAACGCCACACGCCAACTTACACGTCGCTTCGAGTCCAACCTTAAACGGATCTTAAGCGGGCAGCAGGACCAGTAGAGGGGCTTTAGGGTTTAGGGTTCAGGGTTTGAGGGCTTTCGGGGGCTTTTGGGGGGTTTTTGGGCGTGTGCGCTAAGCCCTAAACCCTACCTAAAACGATGCCCAAACACGACACGATCAAACCACAAGTTGGGGCCTTGCCTGGGTTGGGGAAAATCAAGGGTGGGATACTATCCTGCACCCGGGCCCTAAACCCCTTACCTACATTTTCCCAACTTCAACCCCAGGCTCCCCCTGATGCACGGGAGTAGGGGCCAGAAGGTGCGCCTTGGCGTAAACCAAGGTGTCTAGGAGTCTTGAAGTAAACCTAAACACTAAACCCTAAACCCTAAACCCTAAACCCCAAACCCTAAACCCTAAACCCTAAACCCCAATATCAGGTCCCATTGAATTGGAATAGGCTTTTGCGGCAGTTGCGATCAAAAGCAACATAAGCATGACGAGCGGATGGTCTTTGTAATCATTTTGGCTCCAAACCTCTAAGCCTGAAAGCCTGAACAACCTTGAACAACCTTCAACAACCCTACACCCTAAACCCTAACCCCGAAACCCTCAACCCCAAACCCTGAAGCCTAAAGCCTAAAGCCGAAAGCCTAAAGCCTACTGTAAAACCTGAAGCCTGAAGCCTAAAGCCTAACGCCTAACGCCTAAAGCCTAAACCCTAAACCCTAAACCCTGAAGCCTAAACCCTAAACCCTAAACCCTAACCGGCCCCAGAACTGACAGAAGGAAGCGGTCCGGGTCGCCACGTCGGAAGGTCACCGCCGGGTGGCCCTTTCCTGTGCTTCGGACTTAGGTCAGGGTGTTTAGGGTTTAGGGTTTAGGGTGTAGGGTTTAGGGTTTAGGGTTTGTGGTTTGGGGTTTGGGGTTTGGGGTTTGGGGTTTAGGGTATAGGGTTTAGGGTTTCGGGTTGTCTCTCTGCCAGTGCGGGCACCACCTTAGTGTTTAGGTTTAGGGTTTAGGGTTTTAGGGTTTATGGTTCAGGGTTTAGGGTTTAGGGTTTAGGGGGGTTTAGGGTTTAGGAGGGTTTAGGGTTTAGGGTTTAGGGATTAGGGTTTTGGGGGGTTTAGGGTTTAGGGTTTAGGGTTTAGGGTTTAGGGTTTAGGGTTTAGGGTTTAGGGTTTAGGGTTTAGGGTTTAGGGTTTAGGGTGAGTCTGGCGCGACGCTAGACCCCAAACCCTAAAGCCTTATTGTCATCTCTATAGGTCTCTAGGTCGAAAGGAAACTTCAAGAAGTTTTTTGTAGGTTAGACTCCTACGACCCCTTTAAGGCCTCGTAGAGTTTAGGGTTTAGGGTTTACAGGGTTCAGGGTTTACAGGGTTCAGGGTTCAGGGTTCAGGGTTCAGGGTTCAGGGTTCAGGGTTTAGGGTTTAGGGTTTAGGGTTTAGGGTTCCGAAGTCAGGGTCATGAAAGGATAGTCCCAAACTAACACCTGAATACACAGGTCAGTAGCCCCTTGCTCATTTGAGGGGGGTTCGTAACGGAACCTCATCGCAGAATTCAAGCTGCACGGGTCCGCTGAGAATCCGGTAATATGTACTTCCTGCAGAGCCACGAAGGTAAAAGAACAGCTTCTGCAGCTCGCAGTACCTCTGCTGAGAGGGCGAGGAGTCCCACCCCCCCCTCCCCCCCAAAAAAAGGAAAAAAACAAGTGTCGGGACAAAAGGTGTAGGGTTGAGGGTTGAGGGTTTAGTTTGCAGGGTTCAGGGTTCAGGGTTTAGGGGCTTGGGGTTTACCCCCCCCCCCACCCCTAAGCCCTAAACCCTAAACCCTGAACCCCACCGTATGGACTAAAGGCTTCTCTTTGGCTGTTTCGCGTTCAAGGTAGGCAAGAAGTGGCGACTTCACCCTGGAGGGCCTACTGTGGGTCCGCCACGCCAGTCCAACCTTCAGACAGGGTTTGGTGTCTAGGGTTTAAGGTTTAGGGTTTAGGGCTTAGGGTTTAGGATTCCTAAACCCTAAACCCGAAACCCTAAGCCCGAAACGTCAGGAGCTCATGTGAGCCATGCCACATGGCTTGCACATGGCGCTTCCTGGGAAGGATCCAAGTTTGCGGGAAGCGCTTGCCCAGCCTCAGTTGCCGGCAAACCCTAAACCCGAAACCTTAAACCCTTGTGGTCTTCGAGCTCTCGGGCCTTTAGGGGGTCAAGCACTGCTACACAGCACTGTGAAGAGGCGGCTCACTCTCTCCCTCCCTCAAATTTCACTGGCTTAGACTGGTTTTTACAATGTTTATTCGGGCTCGTGAAATTTCAAAATTACTTCAACATCAACCCCAGAATCCCCAGAAAGGTATACCGTATGCCCTCTAATGCCTTCTCTCTCTCTCTCTCTTTTTCTCTCTCGCTCCCTCTCTCTCTCTCTCTTTCTTTCTCTCTGTCTGTCTCTTGTAGGCTATATATCTACAAGAATACACATATGCATTGCCATGTTCTCTTGGTTTACAACTGTCCCTAGACCTGCTCCAAACCCTAAAGCCCTAAACCCCACTTCAAACTACGCATGTCTCCCCGATAGCCTGCGGGGCATGATGGCCCTAAACCCTAAACCCTAAACCCTAAACCCTAAACCCCCAAACCCCTAAACCCATAACCCTAATAGCCGCGGGGCATGAGGGTGGTCTTGGCCAACTCTGCCTCGAGGGTGTTGTTGTTGAGAAGACCGTCCTCTGACAGGCTTTAGGGCCTGGAGGGTTTCAGATGGCCAGGAGGGGTTTAGGGTTTAGGGTTTGGGGTTTAGGGTTTAGGGTTTAGGGTTAGGAGGATTTTGGGAGGGTTTGGGATTTAGGATTTCGGGTTTCGGGGTTTTGGGTTCGGGTTTATGGGGCTTGCCAGCTGTGCGCGGGCTACCAGTTTCAGTGATCTCGTTGGCAAAGAAAACTCGAACGGTGTATGGTCCAGATACCTTGGCAGGGACTATACTAGTACAGGGTAGCTAATCCCAATAAGGCCACCCTAAACACTAAACCCCAAATCCTAAACCCTAAACCCCAAATCCTAAACCCTAAACCCTAGTCCCCAAACCCTAAACCCGTCTAGTCCCCAAATCACCCTCAACCCCAGAGCTTAAAACTCAAGAAGCTCAGGAACGCCAGTCAGTTTTTGGGGGCATGGGCCAAAACTTGACCTAAACCCTAAACCCTAAACCCTAAACCTAGGGATTCTTCCGGAAGTGCGAAGGTCGTTGATCCCGAAGGCCCGGCCCTAAAACCCTGAATCCCCCAGTAACCATATTTCAAAAAGGGCACCCTTTTGTAGTTGGTTACTTTATAAGGGAACCCATAGGCAAAAAAAAAGGGTAAAGGGTACCACGATTTTTGGGCTGGTTTCCTGAACCCGAAACACGAAATCCTAAATTGGGATGTTCCCGCTTATAGTACCCTATTACAGTCCCTATTGAGGACTGCTAGTTTTAGGGGGAACATCCCAATCCTAAACACTAAACCCTAAACCCTAATTAAACCCTAAACCCTAAACCCTAAACCCTAAACCCTAAACCCTAAACCCTAAACCCTAAACCCTAAACCCTAAAAAGAAAAGACCAAGAGGTTTAGGCTTAAGGCCAGGGACTTGGGGTCCAGGACTTCGACGCTCACCCCTTCAGTGTCCCGCCCCCGGATCCGGAACCCCTTCCCAAGAAGAGCCTGAAGCCCATGACTTAGGGCTTATAGAGCTTCGGGTTTAGGGTTTAGGGCTAGGGTTTAGAGTCTGGCGTCTTGGGTTTAGGGTTCAGGGCACCTGCTTGCCCTTGCCCTGGCAGATGTGCGCCATCTGCCGGAATCCGGGGCCCAAGCCGTTGTCCTGGCGACGATGGGGTGCAGGGTCACCAGGGTCTAGGCCAAAAAACCTGCAACCTGAAGCCCCTCATCGTCAACCCCAGCCCTAGCTGACGACCTCAAAACGCCCCTTGGAACCTTAATGGCATGCTACTTTGGGGTGTTCCCCCTTATACTAACAAACCTTGAGAATCGGGGGTTTACTAGAACCCCAGTGCTAGTGTGATGAGTTTTCCTTGGGGTTGTTCGAAAACAGCAATGTAGCACAATTTCGAAGGCGACTGTAGCAATAAGGTTGGGGTATTTAGGGATTTGGAGGTAGCGCATATGTGATTTAGGACCCAAAGCCTAGAATCCCCTCATCCACCGCCAAAAACCGAACGGGTTAAGGGTTTAGGGTTACTTGGTAGCCCAGTAGCCATATTTTAACAAGGGCACCCTTTCTTTGCTTGGTTACTTCATAAGGGAACCCAGAACCAAACAAAAATCAAGTGCAACCTACCTTTGGAGCAGACCCTGGAAAAAAAGTATATACTTTTTAGGTATAAGTAGCTACAATAGGAACCCAGAACCCAAAAAAAATATTAAAGTACGGTACTCCAAAAGCCAGGTAAAGGGTACCACTGGGCTACCAAGTCTCTCTGCGCACAAAAACCCCCCCAGCAACCCGGGACCCCAACCCCGCAACCGAAGATCCAAACCCTAACCCATACACCCCTAAACCCTAAACCCCAAACCCTAAACCCTAAACCCTAAACCCACAACCCCCTGTCCCCCCCCCCCCCCCCCCCCCCCCTCCCCCGATGGGCCGAACCTCAGACTCCTTGTTCTGCGCTGCCGAGGGCAGCCACGGCTCGAGGAGGTTGGCCAAGTTCCTGGGCGGGGGTTAGGGTTTAGGGTTTAGGGTTTCGGGTTTGGGGTTTAGGGTTTAGGGTTTAGGGTTTCGGGTTTAAGGCTTAGGGCTTATGGCTTAGGTTTTAGGGTTCAGGTTTTAGGGTTTAGGGTTGAGGGTTTAGGCTGGTTTGGGGCTGGCCTGGGGAGGTTTAGAGTTTGGGGATTTAGGGAGTTTAGGGAGTTGTTCTTGGCTTTTGCTTGTTTTCCGTTTTCTGCCTTACTTGTTTTAAGGTGTTGGGCTCTCTTGTTTTGTCCGGGTTTGGGGGGAGGGGGGGGGGGGGTTGCAGGGGCGAGAGAGGAGGGCGGGGTTTCGGCTGTTTGGTGGCTTTGGATTACATGGGCCTGGCTTGGGTTTAGGGTTTAAGCTTAGGCCTGTGTGCATTCAGAAGTATGGCTGAATTATCGGATATATCTGTGCCTGTTCAAGGTACTCTGTCAGCCGTTAACCTTATAAGCTTCTTGAATGCCTTTGAAACCACTCAGTTTGAATACCTTTCAAGCGATTGAAGGTGCTTCCAAGTGAATCAATTTGAAGGCGTTCCGCAGCAAGTGGCTTGATTTCAATGCCTTTCAAGCGACTCAGCTTGAAGTTGCTTCAAAAGCCCTGGGTTTAGGGTTTAGGGTGTTAGGGATTAAGGTTTAGGGTTTAGGGTTCAGGGACAGGTGTTCCAAGTGGCTTGATTTGAATGCAACTTATTTTGCATGCAACTGAATTTCAATGTGTTCCAGGTGTCTTGAATGCCTATCGAAAACCCTGAGTCCCTAAGGTCTTAAACAAGCATCCTGAATCAAAAGCCCTCCATATGTTGTGATGGAATGAACCTATGCAGGGCTTCTGAACCCTCAACCCTCAACCCTCAAACCTCAACCCTCAACCCTAAACCCCAAACCCTCAACCCTAAACCCTACAGTAAGCCCTAAACTCCATAACCCCAACCCTAAACCCCAAACCCTAAACCTTAAACCCCAAATCCCAAACCCCAAAACCCCAAAACCCCAAAACCCTAAACCCTAAACCCTAAACCCTAAACCCTAAACCCTAAACCCTAAACCCTAAACCCAGGCAGGCGTCTTGGCATGGAAGCCAAGCTCCCCAGCTGCGGGCTGGTCGTCAGCCAGGGCCCGGCGTAAGCCGCAGTAGAGGCTGTTGTAGGTCCTTTTTGGGGGCGGGGGGTTTAGGGTTTAGGGTTTAGGGTCTAGGGTTTAGGATTTAGGGTTTGAGGGTTCAGGGTCCAGGGTCTAGGGTTTGGGTTTCCCTAGAACCCCCCTATTGGGTCATTCTTGGGAACCCTTAAGGGGGATCTACTTTTTGGATCCTCCCAGGGGTCGGGTTGGGGCTCAGTCCAGGGTTTGGGGTTGAGGATCGGGCTGGGGGCTCAGGATCTATGAGGATTTAGGGTTAAGGGTTTAGGGTGTAGGGTTTAGGGTTTAGGGTTTAGGGTGGAGGGTGTAGGGTGGAGGGTGGAGGGTGTAGGGTGGAGGGTTTAGGGTTTAGGGTTGCAGGACTTGGCCACAAAGACTAATATTAAGGAGTTACCGCGTGAAATACAAAAGGGCGCTCCTGAGCTTGTCTAGAATGGATAGGCGCACCCCGTCTGGTGTTTCGGACCCCCGTCTCCTTTGCGGCGCAGCCGCCCTGCACCGCACGGTCCGTGATGCGTGTCTCCGTGGCCTGCTGCAGGGGGGGCGTCCATTGCATCTTGGCCGAGACGCAGCGTTCCAGGAGCCTGCCGTGTGTCTTCTGAGCTCGAGGTCCTGGCACCAAGCGTCTCACGACCGGCAAGGGACTTATCTCAGCCAGCGAGCAGACAGCCCAAGACCGATCGGGCCAGCTTCTGGAAGCGGGCCTTGGGAATCATGAAGGAGTTGCAGCGCTTGCTGAACCTCTTGATCTGTGACTCCACATCCCGGCACTGGCCATCACGCGGAAAACAGGTGCTCTCCGCTACATGCTCTGCGGAATAGTCCATTAGCCTGTCTAGGATGGACCTTAAAGTTCCCTAAACCTGAACCCTAAACCCTAAACCCTAAACCCTAAACCCTAAACCATAAACCCTAAACCCTAAACATAAAAGCTTGGGGCACGTCTCGATGGGCCTGAAGCCCTGACCGGGTTGGAACCAACCATAGGTTTCTAGAGACATAAGTTTAGGGTCTAGGGTTCAGGGTTAAGGGCTTGGGGTTAGGGTTTAGGGTTATGAACTGTAGGGTTTCGGGTTTTGGGTTTCAATATCGCTGAAGTCGCGCATGTTCCTTGAACTGCACCAGAGATCCCAATGCGTTTCCTAAACCCTAAACCCTAAACCCTAAACCCTAAACCCTAAACCCTAAACCCTAAACCCTAAACCCTAAACCCTGAACCCTGAACCCTGAACCCTGAACCCTGAACCCCATACCCTAAACCCCAACGAAGCGGCATTGGAGTCTTTCGGCTCTTGTGTTGTGTGTCTATTCGAACCCCTAAACTCTCAACCCTGAGGCCCTTTGGGGCTTGTCGGTCTTTAGGGTTCAGAGACCCTAAACCCTAAACACTAAACCCTCAACCCTCAACCCGAAACCCCAAACCCCAAACCGTAAACCCTAAACCCTAACCCTAAACCCTAAACCCTAAACCCTCAACCCTCAACCCTCAACCCTCAACCCTCAACCCTCAACCCTAAACCCTAAACCCTAAACCCTAAACCCTAGACCCTAGCCCTAAACCCTAAACCCTTTAGGGTTAAGGGTTTAGGACTTCAGGGCTGCACGGGGCTGTCCTGCAGGCCGCTAGCTTGCGGGCTCCGCCCGCCAGCACGGAGGCCCTGAACACACCCCCATGGGTCACGGGTTTAGGGTTTAATGTCGTATCCTGATTAGTCTGGACCCCTCCAATCATGAAAAGTTTTCCAAAAATTATTCAGGAGACAAAAATTCGATTGCCCCCCCCACAATAAAGTAAAGTTTTTCGGGCATGGGTTTCGGAAGAGAGAAAAAAGAGAACAAGATGATGAAAGAAAAGAGCAAAAGAAGAGCAGCTTCAAGTCGGAGTTCTGAGCTCATCTGAGCTTACCTGAGCTTACCTAAGTTTACCTGAGCTCTTACCTTTAGCTTTAATTACTGAGCTTACCTGAGCTTACCTGAGCTGAGCTCATCTGAGCTTACCTGAGCTTAATTACCTAAGAGGAGAGGGAGAGGAAGAGGAGAGGGAAGAGGAGCGAAGAGGAAATGAAGAGGAGCCGGTGGGGGGGGCCCGGGGCCGAAAATTAGTTTGGGGGGGTCCCTTTTTTTGGTGACACTATTGCGGGGGTGGATTTAGTTTGGGGGGGGGGGGCCCCCCACACTAATCAGGATACCACATTAGGGTTTAAGGTTTAGGGTTTAGGGTTTAGGGTCTAGGGGTTACGCGAAGGGTGGAAGGGCATAACCCTCGGCACCCTCGAAGTCAACGCGAAAGCATGCCCAGCAATCAAGATTCCCCCCCCCTCATCTGACAACCCTCTAAACTTCATGAACCTCGCGTTCGTTCTAAGCGAAGAAAGTCTCATCCACACCTGCGATCTTGTCAGGATCTCCAACTTGTGTTTCGGCTGGCGCGTTGCAGGTATACCCCGGGGCGCGCCCTTGAAGAGGGGCTGAACAATCGGGGCTTAAGATCAGGGCCAAAACCTATAAAGGTTTAGAGGTGGGGCTTAAGGGAGGGGGCAACTTGCCAGTGTGGGTAATCGCACGTCATGTGTTTAGGTTGCGCACAAGTTCTAGACAGGAACCCAGAATCTGAAGACCAAACCCTAGAATCGCAACTACTTGGAGGTTCATGGGTAGCTACAAATAGGGTTATAAGTACCCTAAGTGAAATATTATAAGTATAGTTACCATAACGATAACCCTACTTATAACTACCCATGAATCTCCAACTACTAGTAAGCCCTTTCGGTGCCCGCCTCCCTCTGAGCTGGCTCAGGGCGTGCTCCTGCACGGGAGCAGTGCCCTCAAAAGTGTCAGAGTAGGACGGAGTTCGGGTTCTACAGAACCACAGGCCGTTTAGGGCTTAGGGTTTTGTTTCGTGTTTAAGGTGCCGAAAAGGTCCCACCCTATCTGCAGCGCTAAATCATCCTACATCATCCTGAATCATCCTGACTCATCCTGAATCATCCTAACTCATCCTAAAAACCTGGGTGGGCTGGAACCCCCTAAGTCTAGGGTCCAAGCCCCGAAGCCGTAGGTAAGCCAAGCACCCAGAGTGCTACCACTAACCCCTACAGAGTGGGGCCCCCTTACTATACTAACTGTAGTTAAGGGACTTATAACCTAACTTAGGGTCCTTATACCCAATTTAGGGCCCTTATAACTCTACTTATAACTAGGGGGCCCCACCCTATAAACCCTCTGTGAGCACGCAGAACCTCAAGGCTGCTAAGGTTGGGTTGGGCTCCTATCTTGGGTTGAAGGCTCAGGCAAAAAGTAGGCCTGTTTGGAGGTCCCTCTGTCTACAGCAGGGTTACCCCCACGCCATTTTGGAGAAAAAAAAACCCTAAACCCTAACCCTAAACCCTAAACTCTCCCGAAACCCTGAACCCTAAACCCTAAACCCTAAACCCTAAACCCTAAACCCTAAACCCTAAACCCTGAAAGCAAAAAAGCTTATGCTCCCAAAGCCCGGGACCCCCAACTCCCTCAACCCCGAACTCCCGCACGCTGAGACTGCGTCAGGGGTCCCGCATCCATGCCCTCAGAGTTTTGAGGCCCTCTTCCTCGGTGCAGCTGAGTTTAGGGTTTAGGGTTTAGGGTTTAGGGTTTAGGGTTTAGGGTTGAGGGTTTGGGGCATCGGGTTTCGGGCTTAGGGTTTAGTTAAGGGCTTAGGATTTTGGGTGCTGCAGGGCCCTACACCCTAAATTCGAAGCCCCTGAAACCGAAGTCTAAACCCTAAAGAGCACACTCTAAACTCTAAACCCCTACACCCTCGACGCCTGAAAATCTTCGAGATTTGTAGGCTTGGGTGCCGTATTTCGCTGGGGTCCCCAAAGCCCTCAACAACCCAAACCCGAAGCCCTAAACCTTGGAACCCTCAAGCCCCAAAAACCCCAAACCCATAAAACCGTCAAACCCTGGAACCCAAGCCCTCAAGCCTTACAATCCTAGAACCAAACTCGACACCCCGAAGAACCCTAAAGCTGCCAAGCCTCAAGGCACCTAAACCCTAAACCCTAAACCCTAAACCCTAAACCCTAAACCCTAAACCCTAAACCCTAAACCCTAAACCCTAAACCCTAAACCCTAAACCCTTCAAGAAAGAAAAACCTGCAAGCACAGTTTAGGGTTTAGGGTTTATGCTTTAGGGTCTCCCCAAGACCCTCATTTGCCTTAGTTGGGGGGAAGGCCAAGGAGATCCTTCGATGTGCGGCAGTCGATGTCATTTGCCCAATTTTCTCAGGGCCGTCGGATTATTGATTCAGGTTTTTTTTTCGGGGTCAGGCTGTGTGTCCATCGAATGCAGGTTGAGCATTTCGTGGGCGTAGGGTTTCGCGGGTTTAGGGTTTAGGGCGGAGCTTTGTCGGGTAGTTCCTTACCGCATATCAGCGCGGGCGTCAGTGTCACTCCCCCAGAGTCTGTGGAAAGCTCTGGCAGCTTGCCAAGAAACCCCAACTTACACTGGGGCGCGATCTCCAATCCTCCGTCTTGCCAGTTGCCACGCCTCACACTTCTCGGCCCGGAAATGTCTTGATCAAACAGCCACAAGGCCCTAAACCCTGAACCCTGAACCCTAAACCCTAAACCCTAACTCCTAAACCCTAAACCCTAGACCCTAAACCCTAAACCCCAAACTGCTGGTCAAAGCTGCCCCCGCGGAAAAGAACGGCTCGGGTAGTTGGTTGCGGTGTTTGGTCTCGTGGCCGAGGACACAGTCAGCGTACAAACCCTTGCAGCCCAGAAAGGTTTAGGGTTTAGGGGTTTAGGGGTTAGGGTTTAGGGGTTTAGGGGTTAGGGTTTAGGGTTTAGGGTTTAGGGTCTAGGGTTTAGGGTTCAGCGTTTAAGGTTTAGGGTTCAGGGTTTCATATTATCATAAGGGTACCAAGCAGGCCTCAAAAACCCTACGTACAAGCTCTGCAAGCCCTAAGCTCTATGAACACCAGATGCCTTTCAACTCTAGAAACCCAAAGGCCCCAATCCCATCCCCTAATCCCACAAAGGCCCCCCCCTACCCCCCGCAACTCTCATGCTTTCAGAAGGCAAAGCCGCTAGACCCTTCATAAAGGCTGAGGGCAAACCGTAAAATCCTAAACCCCAAAACCCTGAACCTTCAACCCCAACTAAGTCGCCAAAGACGATCGCCCTTGGACACCTCTACATGTTCCAGTGTTCCAGCAAAAGCCTAAACCCTAAACCCTAAACCCTAGATGCATCTGGACCACAACCCTCATCAAACAGAAGCAGAAGCCCTGAACCTTGAGCAAAAAAAATCAGCACCCCAAAGTACCTTCAACGAAGCCCTACAGAAACCCTGGAAGCCCAAAACCCGAACCCTAAAAGCCCTAAAGCCCCCCAACAGAAACAAACCCGCAAGTTCCCTCAACCCGAACCCTGAACCCTAAACCCTAAACCCAAAACCCTAAACCCTGCGTGCAGCCGGGCGACTCCCGTACCTGCGGCGCGCGCCTCGGCAAGCCGCTTTCGCACCTTTATGGGGCCGTAGCGTAGAGTTTAGGGTTTAGGGTTTAGTGTTTAGGGTTTAGGGCTTAGGGTTTAGGGTTTAGGGTTTAGGGTTTAGGATTTACGGTTTAGGGTTTAGGGTTTTGGGGTTTAGGGTTTCGGGTTTAGGGTTTAGGGTTTAGGGTCTAGGGTCTAGGGTTTAGGGTTTAGGGTTTAGGATTTAGTTATGAGGTTTAGGGTTTAGAGTTTAGGGTACTATAATCCTTATTAAGGACGGTCAGTATAAGGGCGAACATCCCAAAACATGATTTTGTTTTTCATTCAGGATATCCTACTTTATTGAGCTTCATTATCAGGGGACTTTTTTGGGACCTCCCCATCCTAATTTTGCCTATGTTCTGTTTGGGGGCGCCTACTTGGAGGTTAAAGGCTGAATGGTTAAGGACTTATAGATTATAGGTTTGGGGCTATTTGGGGTTTCATGGGGTCTCTAGGGTTCTAGAGGAGGGGCTTTTAGCTTTTGAGGGCTTCGAGGGCTTGGGATTTCTGGATTTCTTTAGGGGGGCTCCTCTCGGGGTCTAGGGTCTGATGTCGGGCTGCACGGCGCAACCCTAAATCCTAAACCCCAAACCCTAAACTTTAGCAAACCCTAAACCCTAAACGCTAAACCCCAAACCCTAAACCCGAAGCCCTAAACCCTAAACCCTACACCCTAAACCCTAGACCCTAAACCCGAAACCCTAAACCCTAGGAGGGTTGTTGGACTCAAGGCTTTGGGCTTCGGGCCGAATAGTCTCTGAGGCCGGGTTTTTCGGGGTTCTACCTTGGACCTGAAGGTTGTACCCTTGGGTTTTGGGGTCCCTTTTTAAGGATCCCTCAGGGAATAAAAAGGCCATATTGAGACGGTTTTAGGGCTTAGGGTTAGGGTTTGGGGCTTTAGGGTTTAGGGTTAAGGGTTTCAGGGTTTAGGGTTTAGGGTTTTTTTGGGTTTTAGGGCTTAAGGTTTAGGGCTTAGGGTTTAGGCTTTTAGGGTTCTAGGAAGTATGGGTGCCAACCTTAGGGGTACGAGCCTTCATCCCTTGATGGGCCTGGTTATTCCACAGCAGCATGGGCCGGAAACGCCGGTGGTAGAGCTCCGGTAGCGGCATGTCCTTGTTCTGCACCTTTGGGTTTCGGGTTTAGGGTTTAGGGTTTGGGGTTAGACCCTGAACTCCTGAAAGAAGTGGGGAGATAAAAATTGCATATCGTTCTTCCGGTCATGGTTCTAAGTGGATGTGACAGAACCAGTTGAAACTGCTGTCATCCGTGATCAAGTTACCCTAAGCGCCGCTAATCACTCAAGACGCCGTGCTGGGATGCGTGTCCTGGCCTAGAGGTTTAGGGTTTGGGGTTTAGGGTTTAGGGTTTAAGGTTTAGGGTTTAGGGTTTAGGGTTTAGGCTTTAGGGTTTAAGAAAGCCACGCTCCACCCGATCCAGCAGCCGTGGCTCATCCACTCTACAACGCCAACCTCCTTGCCCTAACCCTGAACCCTGAACCCTGAACCCTGAACCCCTGAACCCCTGAACCCTAAACCCTGCACCATAAACCCTAAACCCTAAACCCTAAGCCCTAAGCCCTAACCCCTGAGCCCTAAGCCCTAAGCCCTAAGCCCTAAACCCTAAGCCCTGCCCCACCCCCCAAGATGACAAGAGACAGAAGCCTGGGTCTCATAGCTCAGGGCTCAGGGTTTAGGGATAAATAGGGTTTAGGGTTTAGGGTTTAGGGTTTAGGGGTTAGGGCTTCGGGTTTAGGGTTTAGGGTTTAGGGTTTAGACCCATGAGCCTGCCACGTGAAGCGCTTGAGGTAGCTATCCAGGGTGGCCTGGAAGGCTCTTGGGGCTTAGGTCTTCTGGGTGAGAGTCGAGGGACTAAGGGTTTAGGGTTTAGGGTTTAGGGTTTAGGGTTTAGAGTTTATAAAGTATCATCCGAGACCTAAAGCCCTAGACCTTCTTGATGCAAGAGCCGAAAAAAAGCCCCCAATCCCCGAACCACTCGCCTGCCCATCCGAAACCTAAGCTCCGCGCAAAAGCCAGAGCAGAGTCGTAGTGGGCCCTAAACCCTAAACCCTAAACCCTAAACCCTAAACCCTAAACCCTAAACCCTAAACCCTAAACCCTAAACCCTAAACCCTAAACCCTAAACCCTAAACCCTAAACCCTAAACCCTAAACCCTAAACCCTAAACCCTAAACCCTGCTACTTCCTCTTGCGCTTCGCAAGACTTCGGGCCTTCGGGTCTTAGGGGTTGAGGGGACACAGTCGGCTCCAAGAAAGCTCCTGAAACTACGAAGACCGACATCCGAAGACAAGAAATAAGCACAAAGTCCCCTTCTCAAGGGTCAGAAGCCCCAAACCCCCTAAACCCTATACATTTATAAGCCGAATAAGCAGCCCTGAAATGCCTAACCCCCCCCCCCCCCCCAAAAAAAAAAAAAAAACAGAAAACTATAAACCCTATAAACCCTATAAACCCTATAAACCCCATAAACCCTATAAACCCTATAAACCCTATAAACCCTATAAACCCTATAAACCCTATAAACCCTATACACCCTATAAACCCTATGAACCCGATAAACCCTATGAACCTTATAAACCCTAAAACCCTATCAACCACCCAAATCCCCAACTCAACTTGAACGACCCAAGTCCGCCGTGGAAGTTTTGGGTTGGTTTAGGGATCCGGGTTTCGGGTTTCGGGTTTAGGGTTTAGGGTTTAAGGCTAGAGTTTTGGGTTTAGAGCTTGGGGAGGGTTGGGGTTGAATCTCAACACCCTAACATGGCCCTAAATAACCCAAAAACACCTTCAGATACACCCAACAGCCCTCCTTTGCAGTAGCCCTACACCCATAACGTAGACCCCTCTGCCGCTAAGTCAAAGCCTAACCCCCTCACCCGTAAACCCTATACCCTACTCACCCCCGCCACCCCTACACGGCCTTCCAGAAGGCTTCGTGCTGGCGGCTCCTCAGCATTACTGAATGAAAGGGTTTAGGGTTTAGAGGTAATTCGAGGATTGGGTAGGGCAAAATGACCAAACACCCAAACCCCCATTCTCCAAAAAACCCAAGCCCCAAACCCCCCTAAATTCATTCATACTCTCCCAAACCCAAACCCTAGCCCTGAAGCCCTGCCCCCCCGCACCCTGACCAACTTTCTCTCAACCCTAACCCCCCCCCCCCCAAAAAAAAAAAAACAAAACACACACACACACACACACACACATATATATATATATATACATATACATATACATATACATATATATGTATATGTAAATGTATGTATATACATATATATATATACATATATATCTGTACATATACATAGAGTATGTATACAAAAAAACATAAACATAAACATAAACATAAACATATACATATACATATACATATAAATATAATATATACATAGAAATGATATACATATATATAAAACTTCTCGTACCGAGCCGAAGCTCAAGTCACCCAGCTTCCCCGCGCGATGTCTGCGCTCGACCTCGCAGGAGCCAAAGATCGAAGGGTAGTTTATATGGTCCCGTAATATGGTCACCCCTAGACCCTAAACCCCAAACCCTAAACCCTAAACCTTACCTCGGTTTAGGGTTTAGGGTTAAGGTTTTAGGGTTTAGGGTTTAGGGAACGCACTTGATCCTTCCCAGGCCTCGGCGACGACGTGCCGGACGAAGGGTCGGCTGCCCGTGTGGTAGATGAGCACGACAACCTGGGTCAGGGTTTAGGGTTTAGGGTTTAGGGTTTAGGGTTTAGGGTTTAGGGTTTAGGGTTTAGGGTTTAGGGTTTAGGGTTTAGGGTTTAGGGTTTAGGGGTTGGGGGTTGGGGGTTGGGGGTTGGGGGTTAGGGCTTAGAGCTTAGGGTTTAGGGTTTAGGGTGTATACTCCAGGGTTTAGGGTATAGCAAGGTTTGGACTCAGGGTTTGTGGTTTGGGGGGCTTCGGGTTTGGAAGTTTTTTAGGATCCGGGTCTGAAGTTTACCGGCAACCCTGCTTATTCCTTCGCCTATCCGCGTGACTCCCTGAATCTCCTTGTAGAGCCCTAAACCCTAAACCCTAAACCCTAAACCCTAAATGGAAGCTCAGAAACCATAGTTTATTGAGGGTACCCTTTTTTGGTTTGTGACTTTATAGGAGAATGTGGAGCCGAAAAAAGTGCAAAAGGGTACCACTGGGCTACCAGGCCTAAATAAAGAGACCTGTGCGAGGTTCAGGGTTTGAACCTCTAAGGTTTAGAGTTTAGGGTTTAGGGTTTAGGGTTTAGGGTTTAGGGTTTAGGGTTTAGGGTTTAGGGGTTGGGGTCTGTCAGCTCTGCCTCCGGGCAGAACGGGCCTCGCAGCCTATGCCTGAGACACCCCAAAAGGTCCACACACCCTAAACCCTAGCCCTAAACCCTAAACCCCAAACCCTAAACCCTAAACCCTGAACCCTAAACCCTAAACCCTAAGCCCCAAGCCCCATAAACCCTGACCCAGAGGGTTCCTATGTAGTAGCAGCTTTCGGGCCCCAAGCTGGCCACAAGTATGTACGATACTCTACTTTATAGGGTCGGGGGACTTAGTCAGGGTTTAGGGTTGAGGGTTGAGGGTTGAGGGTTTAGGGTTTAGGGTTTAGGGTTTAGGGGACTTAGTAAGTAGATAGTGGGTGGACTTATAACTACCCTAAAAAGGACCCTAATTGGAGTTGTCCTACTTATAGCTCTATCAGTTAACTACTTACTAAGTCCTCCGACCCTCCAAGTATAAGAGGTGCTAGGAGGGGTTTTAAGATTTATACTCATATTTTTTCTTTTTTTTTTTTTTTGGGGGGGGGGGGGGGGTGGCCGGCTCCCCGCTTTAAGGGTCAAGGCGGGTACATGCTGAACGAGACCTTCAGGGGCTTGAGGTTTAGGCTTTGTTTCGATGTTGGGTTAGGGATTCAAGTGTGGGGTCGAGGGCTTATCATTTTGGGGGCCCAAGGGGGCTTAAGACCCAAGATCTTGAGCCCGAAACCTGGTTGAACAGTATCCTAGGCGAACTGAAACTTACCCTTTGGAATTCTAGTAACAATGGATTTCGAATCTCCCACAAAGGTTAAAGGTTACCTATTCTACTACTAAGGGGAACCTGAACTCTTTCTAACAGGACAGACGAGCTCAACTGAAACCAATCCTAAGGAGCGATCCGTTCGTTGCCGGCGCTGTGAGACGTGCCAACGGCTGGCAGAGTGAGTAGTACTAGCCTACGGGGCCAAGGCCCCAAAGAAGAAGGTCTTTGTGCACAAAAAACAGAAGAAAAGCCTTAAATAAGTATGGGGTCTTGGGCTCTAACAGGGATACAGTTGTCCTACCTTTTTTCTTTAGTTCTGACTATCCATGAACCTCTAGGTACTTGGAGGTTCATGGTACTTACTAGCCAATTATAACTGTACTGAAAAGTGTACTCATAACCATATTGGGGCACTTAAGGGGCTTATAAGTGGTTGTAGTATAGTACAGCTACTATTGGTTAATAAGTACCATGAACCTCCAAGTCATCCCTCCATCGTGGAAAGCGCTGGGCTTGGGATCCTGTAGGGGCTTACGATATTCGGGCTACCTTTTTGGGGTCCTTGTCAGAAGGGGATCCTACGATTTGGGGGTCTATACTAGGGGTCCTACTTGTTTTCGTAAACCCCTTTTTTGGGCTCTAAACCCGCCACTCCGCTAGCTCCAGCAGGCTTTTGAAAACAGCCGTAGTGAGACACCTCCTTTCATGGGAACCCCTACCTTGTGACCTTGTAGGGGTCCAACAAGGAATGTGTAGTGGTTTTTCTTGCCCATAGTAACTCAAGAGTGTGGTTGCGGGCCCTAAACCCTATTAAGTTACTAACCCTACAACCCCTACATGTAGGGTTCCCACCATGTCCGACGAACCTGTATCTCCGGTTGAACCACGTGCGCCACTGTGGCAAAGATCGCGGTTGAACCAGGTAAGACATTGGGGTGAAGAGCGCCCACCACTTCCCTTGCTTTTCGAGCTCCAGGAAGTCAGTCCCAAATCCTCAGCCAAGGACCAGGGCATCGTAGTGCTGTCGCCCCTGGCGTCGAGACGGGGGTTCGAGTGCTGCTTTGGGGAGTTTGTGTTCTGAAATCTTTCAGAAAAATTGGGCTTCACTGGGATTGCAGGGTTTCGGACCTGCTCGAAACCCTGGAAGCCAAGCACGCGGAGCAACCCTGAACCCTAAACCTGCTCGGCCCATGCCTGGTAGAGGAGTGGCACGACGCGGCCCGGCGACCCGAACCGCGCAATCCGCGCGAAGCCGCCCTGAACGGGCTCATAGACTTCGATACTCACCTGCTTCGGAGGGCTTAGGGTTTAGGGTTTAGGGTTTAGGGTTTAGGGTTTAGGGTTTAGGGTTTTGGGCTTAGGGTTTAGGTTTTAGGGTTTAGGGTTTAAGGCTTAGGTTTTTGGGTGACTAAGGTTTACGGTTGAAGGACTATTGCCCTCAGGGCCCAAGACACCAAATAATGAGGTCTTTGTTTCTGGAAAGGATGACGGACCCTTTAAACCCCGAGTCCGCCAGAGGCTCTCGCGCATTTGGTCTCTGAGCGGGAACTGGAGCACAGACCTCACCCTAAAACCTAAACCCTAAACCCTATAAAACCTTAAACCCTACACACAACAGGTGCCAAAATCTCCTGGCCTTCTTGGTCTGGGCGATGACAGCCAACTCGATGCCACCCCCCCACGCTCCAGCAAGAAGATCCTGGATGTATGGCTTCGGGTTTAGGTGCATAGGTTTAGGGTTTAGGGTTTAGGGTTTAGAGTTTAGGGTTTAGGGTTTAGGGCTGTAGGGTGTAGGACGCGTGACACGGAATGTCCTGGACGTATGTGCGGACGCCGGCGTCTGCATCCATCCGGATCCACTCCGACAGCGAGGTGTTCAGGATAGGCCTGGGATGGGTTTAGGGTTTAGGGTTTAGGGTTTAGGGTTTAGGGTTTAGGGTTTAGGGTTTAGGGTTTAGGGTTTAGGGTTTAGGGTTTAGGGTTTAGGGTTTAGGGTTTAGGGTTTAGGGTTTAGGTTTAAGGGTTTAGGGTTTAGGGTTTAGGGTTTAGGGTTTAGGGTTTAGGGTTTAGGGTTTAGGGTTTAGGGTTTAGGGTTTAGGGTTTAGGGTTTAGGGTTTAGGGTTTAGGGTTTAGGGTTTAGGGTTTAGGGTTTGAGGTTTTCGTGTACGGCGCCTTTAAGGCCCAACAACCTTACCTTACAGGGAGCTAACCTCCCAAGCCAAGGAGGTGTGTTGAGGGCTTGCAAGGTAAACTTGGTAGCCCAGTAACCGTATTATGACCTAGGGCCTAGGCCAACTTTTCACTTTTCTGGGCTGATTACTTCATCGGGGAACCTTGAAGCCCCCAAAAAGGGAAACGGGCACCTTAAGGGCGCCCAAGGTACATATTCGGCTGCGTGCACATGACCTCAGCCACGTGCCTGCGGAGCGAGCTGGCCGTACCTCGGCTTGACTTCAGCTGCGGTTTAGGGTTTAGGGTTTAGGGTTTAGGGTTTAGGGTTTAGGGTTTAGGGTCTAGGGTCTAGGGTCTAGGGTCTTAGGGTTTTAGGGTTTTAGGGTTTAGGGTTTAGGGTTTCGGGTTTCGGGTTTAGGGTTTAGGGTTTAGGGCTTAGTGTTTGAAACGCGCAACTCCGCAAACCCTACTTGGAGGTTCATGGGTGGTTAAAGCTGGTGTTATACATCTGGTAACGAGAGTTCTAACAAGAGCTAGCCCATAATCCTTCAATAAATCTCTAAACCCCTAAACCCCTAAAACCCAAAACCCCAAAACCCCAAAACCCCTAAACCCCAAAGCCCCTAAACCCCAAAACCCCAAAACCCCTAAACCCCTAAATCCCCTAAACCCCTAAACCCCAACCCCCCCAACCCTTAAACCTCTACACCCCCTACCCCTCAACCCTCAACCCCTGAATCCTAACTCCATTCTCCAAGCTCCGCCCAAGGTGCTGCCGTCACCGAGCCCATAGGAAACCGCATGATACAGGCAGGAGCCGTCCTGGCATGGACTTGGAGGCCCTCTAGGGGTCTAGGGTTTGGGGTTTAGGGTTTAGGGTTTAGGGTCTTGGGTTTAGGGCGGGTTTAAACGTTCAGGGTTTAGGGTCTAATGAAGGCTGAAGGCACAGAGAAACAAGAAAAATGTATCCAAAATCAACCCCTGCGTCCCCTGGATGCCGCACCACGCGCGCGCGGCTCACGATTTTGGGCTCTTCTGGCTCCTGGGAAGCCACCAGATGACTCTTGCCCTTGTATCGCCTCGGTTTAGGATTTAGGGTTCAGGGCTCAGGGTTGTGGGTAGATGTAGCGTTGTTTTAGGGTTACAGAGTTAAGCGATATACACGCTTTACGGGTTGGCTGAGAGGCTTCGGCTGCAATTCTAGGTGGTCAGCTAGATTGTCCTTACTGCCACTATGGTTCTTCTCCACCAAACGAAGTACAACCGCGCAAAGAACATGTGATTTTGCAACGAACGTCTTGTATTGACTGAAACGAGGCACCATGCATCTGGGTGCTTCTCTCTGGGCTTCTGAAAATGAGGGCAAGTCCTCTTCTCTGGTAACGCGGGAAGCAATGAAATTAAACCTGGCCAATTCCTCTAACTGAAACTGGACAACAAAACTTTTCGCCATTGCTTGAGCTAGATTCTCTGTTGCGTGTGCCCCGTCGCACTTGTCGCAAGTTACTGGTGGGG